TTCACCATGACTTAGAATAAAACCAAGGTATTCAACCTGTTTTTGGCACCATTGCAATTTCTTTTTAGATGCTTTGTGACCATTCCCTGACAACCATTCTAACAGAGACCAACTATCCTCCTGACTGGCCGCCTGACTTGAACTACAAATCAATAGGTCATCCACATATATAATGAGGACCGAACCATTGGGAGGGGTCCAGGACCTCAGTGTGGTCTGGAGGGCAAGTGAGTAGACTGCAGGCAAATCTACATAGCCCTAGGCATTCTACACCAGCTCATCTGGCGATTTTCAGAATATAAATACAAATAGCGCCCTTGTCTGGTGGTCCACAGGAACCGAAAAAAATGCATTTGTTAAATCAATCACTGTAAAATATTCTGCATCGGACGGAATGGAGGTGAGGAGTGATGGCACATCAGGCACTATTGGGGCTAATGGAACCACCAAATTATTTATGGCCCTCAAATCTTGTACAAACCTGTAAGAGCCATCCGGCTTCTTGACAGGATTGATAGGTGTGTTGTAAGGAGAAGCAGTTTCACCTACCTTCTGTTTACATGCTGTAGCAATAGGGAGGGAAGCCTTATTCTTGAAAACCCTTTTTAATTCTGTGTCAAGCTCCTCCCACATAGTTTCTCTCCCTTCTGTGGTGTTTAGTTTATAGGCAGTAGCCTGTGTATTACTTGGTTCTATGTGACTAATGCTTTTTACATTTATCCAATCCCAAGCTGGATTATTTCCCAGAATACTATCAATGATCAATCTCATATCTTCCTGTGTGTAATTTCTTCCTAAACATGCCTTTTTTTAAATAAGCAAGTGTACCTCCAGGAGATACTGTAGGCTTGGGACAAAGTTTAACAATCTTATTAATATCTTCTAATTTCTATGGGTTTTTTTAGAATTAGTTCTCCTGCTGTGAGAAAAGGTAGTGTCAATATAGCCAACTCCTTTCCTCCTACGGCCCCCTCATCTTCTCTTTTTCCCTCTTGTTTCTTATCCATGGATCTAAGCTGCATTCTAAATTCCTCCACCTCTCTGCCCTTTCTATGACTGGTGTCACTTCTTCTCCATTGACCATCCTTTTTCTGTAATTTTATTATATTTACCTGTCCCTGTTCTTCGTATTCCAACTCTCCTTCGTTGTCATTATTCTCTGTAAGGATGCCTTGAACTTGGCTACCCTCCACTGGTGATTTTATACTAATAATCTGTTTGGGTCTAGTGGAGGGGCCTGGCTGTATTGGTTGTAGATCCGGGACGGGAAGTGGCGCAGGGACAGGGGCAGGGGCTGGAGGGGCATTAGGCTGGGGTGTAATCATCCCCAAACTAATCAAAAAATCATCATCAGCAGCATTTTTAAAACCACTTAATGAAGGATATATATTATACGGAGGGGGTGGGGTTGGTGTCTGAACTGTTTTCAGTCCAATCTTGGGTCTGCATGTCTTTTCAGATTGATGCTTTTCCTGGCATATTTTTAATGTATCCAATTTCAACTTCCTCTTTTGTTTTAAAGAGAAAATCAAATTGAACTTTCCCTTGCTATTATCAACCCAATATGGTGACCATTTTAACCAGTTTTCTCCCCCTTTCTTGGAATGGGTCTGTACTCCCCATAGCTTCTGTCCAGCCTGCCATACAATCCACCCAGGGATTTATTAAATAATAGTCCGTTCCACAAACTCTAGCAACATAATCCTTACAATTTACTCCCTTTTTTGGGGGGACCTGGTGGGTAACTACCTCCTTGACCCATATTTAGACAGTGGATAAAACAATTTTAGCTTAAAATCTTATTTTTTTGTTCCACACAACAAAATTATCTTATACTTCTACGCAACAGAAAGAAAAAGCAAAAGACAGATAAACCAGAATCTGCTCCACAGACTTATTAACCTCTTGATAACTTCCCAAAAGTTATCTCTTCACTGTTTTACCAAAAACAGCGTGTCCTACTAGAGAACTGTGTTTACCAAAACACCTTTTTTTATATTATAGTGCACTATTTTGTAACTCTTACCAAAGAGTTAAGTCTGCTTTACCAAAAGCAGCTACAGGTTATCACGGGTCTATATAGACAATACAGAATGATTCAAGACCTTCCCTCAACACAGGGCAAGAAAGAGCTTTTAGTCATAAAAAGACAAAAGGTTTACTTACCAAGTGAGGTGGGTGGTCATCCCGGGCCGAGCCCCCCAGCTGAAAGGAATGATTTTCTTTTCCCCTCAGAGACCCCCGGTCTGTGGAGAGATTCCTGGTTTATCAGCAGAATTCTGGGAACACCCCTTGAACACGGAAATCACGACAGCTTATGTTCAGAGATGTTCAAAGTTTATTAGACATTAATAAGATTATATAGACTACAGATAATAATAAGGGAGGGGGGGAGCGAGTTTCAAAACTGTAACTTGTAACTTTCCATCATGAGCTAACTACATGAAACATAACATATACATTTCTTGGTACAAATTGTTTTGTCTAACTTTTAGAGAAAACAGACAGACAAAGACATTGTCAGGGTCATGTTAGCTTCTGTTGATACATCCTTGAACAACCAAAAACAGTTTCATTAAACTTCTAATATTGGTGTTAACGAACCCATAACATGTTTAATTGATGTCCGATGATGGGACTTTGTTCATTTGTGTTATCACTTTGGGAGAGTTGAACAGGTGTAGGTCAAGTCATTAGTGGGTTGGACTGGGACCCCCATCTGTGTCTATTTGTAGCACTTTTTTTGTCACTTGTGATTTGCCTTGAGAAAAGTTGGCTGTGCCCCTCTGAAGCAGGCAATCTCACATGTAGACTAAATATTTACGAGTAAACCCAAGAACACAATGTAATGTATTGCAGCTTATCAGACCTTAGTTGTGGTGACTGTATCCTTTCCTTTTCTATGCATTTTAACTTTATTCTCACTTGGTGATCCTGCCAGTAACACATTTCCTATCCTAGGATGATAATGCTCTCTCTACTGTATCTATGAAACAGAAGCGCTGTTGTCCTACAGGACTACAATAACACCTCCCCTTCTCCTCTTCTCCATAACAAATGGGGGAAATGTTCTGTAGTTCACAGAGAGAGCTGGGAACAATTTATCTGCTAACAGTGCATCACAGGCAAAGAGCACAGTTATCAGGATTTCTGGAAGGATCAACAGGTATTTCTGCACTGCCAAATGGATGAAATAAAAGAAGTTCTTTGTTAGGGTTTCCAGAAATGCCATTTCAGAAAAGACAGCCTTTCACATCCTCAGCCTTTATTTACTGTACAGCAGCTCTGTTCTCATCACACTCTCACACTTGAAATGCAGGTCACAAATCCCATCTTCCTTATGTCCCTAAAAGCATGCCAGATGTGAGTGAGAGAGAGGAGGAGGCAGCCATTTTCTCAAAATGCTTTTTTTTTTTAAATGTCAGGATAGAAATATAAATGATGCCATTGCTGACTTGGTTGTGACGTATAAGCTCCAGAGCTACCATCTTTAGAGCCTATGTCTGGCTTATGTTTGCTTTATAAGGGTTTCACATTCCCATACAAGTCTATAGCAATGCAAGACCCGCTTGAAGCAGGTCAGGTGTCAAACTGATGCCACTGACATGAGCCCAGAAGCCATCAACGCAGGCCCTTAAGCTGGCCATACACATCAATTTCTTCCATTCAGCCTGTGGGCTAAACAAAAGAAATCAAACAGACTCCTCCATCCACGCTGTTAGCAAATCTCCTGCCGGCTGTCAGAATACCCAAGTAGTGCCTGTATCTGATTGGATACATGCACTGATCAGCTGCCAATTTTTGACCCAGCAAATTTGACAAAAGTCAACTGAAATATCAATTTTTGTCAACCCATTGTATTAATTTAAGCCATTTCAGCATGAATCAAGCAAAATTCAACATTTGTTTAGCCAGCTTTACTCAGAGAGTTACTGACCCAAAACAAGCATGCAGCGAATGATTCACAAGGAGGAGAACCATGGGAAGCCCTGGGGCTTACATCTTCAAATCCACTTTAATATTGCTAGCCACACAGATTCTCTTTAAAGTGCTTGTAAACCCGGTGAAGTGACTGGCTTCAGGTGATACACAGAGATGAAACAAATCCTCCTACAAAGGTTGTACCTGTTGCAGAATTTGCAGGATGTATACAGCTTGTATGAGCTTTCAGAAAGCAGGGGGAGGAAGCTGAAGTTACACTCTGAAGGAGAGCTCCAAGAACGGACGGGAGGGAAGGGACACCCCCCCCCCCCTTCACACAGGAACAGAGCTGAGACTGTCACTCACAGGTTGTGTGCTGGAGATCCCTCCCCTGTCACCTTTTTTTCTCTTGATGTCAGGAAAACCTGTCAGAAGTGACTTATGCTGATAGCAGAGGAATGAAGCAACAGGCAGAAATGACACTAGGGCTATTCCACACATAGTGTGATGATAGGCGTTTTACTGCATTGTAAAAAGCCTATCACCGCAAGGACACACAGAAAACAGTTGTTTCCTTTTTATTAGCACTGATCACTGTATTGGTGTCACTGGGGATGTCAGTGACACCAAGTCAGTTCCCCCCCAGTGTTAGAATGCCCGCCACAGTCCCACAGTCCTGCTATAAGTCGCTGATTGCCTCCATTACTAGTAAAAAAATAAAAGTAAAACAATTCCAGTATATATACCCCATTTGAAAGCGCTATAACTTTCACGTAAAGCAATTAATTTACACATACTGGGATTTTTTTTTAGCAAAGACGTGTAGCAGAATACATTTTGGCCTAAATTTATGATGAAATTTGATTTTTTAATTTTTTTACTGGATACATTTTATAGAAAAAATTCAAAAATATAGTTTTTTTTTTTCAAAATTGTCTGTCTTTTTTTGTTTATAGGGCAAAAAATGAAAAGAGCGCAGGTGATCAAATACCACCAAAAGAAAGCTCTATTTGTGGGAAAAAAAGGACGCAGCGTTGTATTACCGCGCAATTGTCAGTTAAAGTAACATAGCGCAGTACCACAAAAAAAATGGCCTGGTCAGGAAAAGGGATAAATCCTATGGAGGGCAAGTGGTTAAATACATATAATGTAGGTGTGAAATTGTTACATTAGGGATCAGGGGCGGACTGACAACTCATGGGCCCCCAGGCAATAGGGGATCATGGGGCCCCTGTGTCCTTGCCCAAACTCAAAAAAGCCTATGCAAAAGGTATCAGGGGAATCTCATGGGGCCCCCTACTGACCCCAGGCCCTCGGGCAGTGCCCGAGTTTCCAAATGGTCAGTCCGCCCCTGTTAGGGATAGGCACAGAGAAGCCCACAAAGGGGTATATATGACACTCTAATAAAAGAGAATAGCTTGACGACACATCCACTTACTAAGATGATTAATTACATTTAACTTTCCAACATCCCCCCTCATTAAACTACCATTTTACTGGTTTTATTAATAAAAAAAAAAAACATGAATGATAATGTCAGATGAACAAGACCAGCCATCCTTGATCCTAGAGGAAGCCCCCTTTATAAAGCATAAGTGGTTTGATGACGCAACTTCTGCTGACGTCATTTCTGCCCTTTGGAACGCACGCTGGAACACGGCAGCCATCTTGGTTCCTATTCACAGGCAGAAAGGCTGAATACTCCGAGTGCCAGGTTATGGGCACTTATTTGTGAGTTTTATTCTTATAATTTCTCCCCATCATTAAAGTTTTTTATGGCTTCACACTATGGGATGTTTGCTTTTGTTTCTGTTCACATGCTGAAACTTGGTTTACTGCCTGGGAGGAGAGGAGAAAGTTTAAAAAGGCTCTATTGAAACTACACTGTCATTTACTTCCACGCTGGTCATCATCCTATTGTTTACTATCAGCCAGATCGCATAATTCCCAGGAATGAATATTGGTGCCATTCTTGCCATCACGCATTGGGCTAGTCCCAAACCAGGTGCTTAAGGCCAACCTAGAGATAGGTGGTCCACGGCTAATGGTGAGTGAACATCCATGTGGGGCACCGATTGAGCACAGAGGAGCACCTGTCATTTTTGCACGAAGTTTACCAATTAGTATTCAACACCTGGGCACTTTATTTTTCCGAATTGGGACTGAATGTTACAATTATTCACTTTGTATATGTGAAACAATATTACTCATTTATTGTCAAATTTAATGCACTTAATTTATGCACGGTCCACATGGTATTTTGTTTGTTTTTGTGCTTTTGGTTCACAAATTAGGACTGCAGTGTATACTTATCAAAGTTGCATGAATATCTATTCCTAAGTGCAACAGCACTGTATCTTATTTAAATACATATAATGTAGATGTGAAATTGTTACATTAGGGATAGGCACAGAGAAGCCCACAAAGTGGTATACAGTATATGACACTCTAATAAAAGAGAATAGCTTGATGACACATCCACTTACTGAGATGATTAATTACATTTAACTTTCCAACATCCCCCCTCATTAAACTACCATTTCATTGGTTTTATTAATAAAGGAAACATGAATGATAATGTCAGATGAACAAGACCAGCCATCCTTGATCCTAGAGGAAGCCCCCTTTATAAAGCATGGGCGTGAGTGCATGTCCCCTATTGTACAGCAGTGTAAGTATATGACTGCTTAGAGGTTAAAACCTTATATCAGAGAGCATGGCCATGAATGTATGTATGTAATAAACGGACCTGTAAGTATTATTCCTGTATGTGAAGAATGCATCAGCGCAGACCCAAAACTGGCAGGAATGGAAGTATTTAATTTAAATTCAAATTTTAGTGTCTAGAGCTGCATATTTCTAAAGATGAGGTTACAGCAATATTGGCTCAGCCATTATGCAGAAGTCATTTACAAGGTTGACACATATGGCTGGGCTCTGAATAAAAGGTTGATTTTCTTGCAATATACACTGAAGGTCAGCAGGGATTCAAACAATAACTGACTTTAGGATTGGAACAAAGCAGATGCCTGAGGCAGTGCTTAGTAAGGGGCAGGATAGTATCCAGGGCGGACGTGGGATGCTGGAGCATACATGCATCTGCTTTATCTGTACTCCGAGGACACCCCATGCTGGGGCCATCACTTTTTATTTATACAGAGACACTGACAGGTTTTCAAAAATGTTCATGTAATCTGCTGCCCCTGAATATCTCCCCATATTTATAATTAGACACATCTCTTACAGCAAGCTAGCTTTTAGCCTACATTTACAAACTGTATGTGTCTAGTGGTGTGCCTGCTGTAACCTTAGTGCAAGCACATCTTCCATAGGGGATTATGGTAAGGCTCCTAAAATGCAGCTGAAATGCCCTGTGCTGCATATATTTAGACATGTGACTGTAGATTTTTGTATGTTATGGTGGCACGTTTCAGAAAACAATTGAACAGGCTTGCATCCCTTCTGATAGATTTAGACCAGATTCAATAAAATGTGAATCCCCAAGTTGATCGTCCAGGGCAGAAAATGATTGGTTGATTTGCATCAATTAGCAACTCTGAAGTACTGTTGTCATGAATTCAATTGTATTTTGATCGATCAGATTATGAGATTGCATGGGGAGAACAGACATATGATTGATAACTTACATTCATATCTTCCAGCTATCAAATGAACTCCACTTTCTCTTGTGTGGCATATCGATCAATTGGATTTTTTTTTCAACTAAAGATTGATTATTCCTAGAGTCAGAGATTGATTGATAAATAAATTGATTATTTACCAAAGCATGCATGATCATTATTAGATTCAATGTCTTACGTTTTTGCTCCTCAGCATCTCAAAGGCAGACTTGATTTTTTTTTTTTTCCAAAAATACTTTTATTAGAAGAAAAAAGGCATATGGCCCTCGAACCCCTCGTGTATTGAATCGTTTTGTTACTGTATCTTTGATGCAAAGCACATCTTCCATAGGGTATTATGGTACCACACATAAAATGTGTCTAAGGTGCATATAAAACACTCTGTGCTGCAAACATTAAGCTTAGACATATGTATGGTGGTCATACAATCAATGGTGTTACGGTGGTCATACAATCAATGGTGTTATGGTGGTCATGCAATCAGTGGTGTTATGGTGGTCATGCAATCAATGGTGTTATGGTGGTCATGCAATCAATGGTGTTATGGTGTTCATGCAGTCCATGGTATTACGGTGGTCATACAATCAATGGTGTTATGGTGGTCATACAATCAAGTCAACCAACAATCGATAGGCAACTTTCCTGCCAATGAATTTAGACTCTGTTTAGATTAGATTCAATCAAACTGAGTCGATGGGCCAGTGAGGAAAGGACTACATTGATCAACAGCACTGAGTTTTGCTTATGAATTTGATCAGAATATAAGACTACATGGAGAAAACAGAGATGCAATCGATTATTTACAAACATATCTTCCAGCTATCAAAATCCAAATCCACTTCCCCATGTATGGCATTATGATCGATTGGGTTGTTAACTATAGATCAAGTTATTCCTACTAGAAGAGATCAATCAATAAATAAATTGATCATTTATTGAAGCATGTATGACCATCATTAGATTTAAAATAACTAAAGACAAAAGACACAGATTGCAAAAAAGCCCACAAACTGACAGGGGTTATAATCCTCCGATTCACACTATAGAAACTCAGTCCAGATGTGTTTCAGATGGGTGTCTGCATGCACAATTTTGGCACGTTTTCAATATGCATTTGACACCCTCTGGTGCATTTTTGATGTTTTCTGGTTAATTTTTCTCCCTTCTCTTTTTCTTTAATTTAAATAGGGACATGTGCGTTCCAGTGTGTTTTTGGTGCATGTTGGTGCATTGCAGTGTGTTTTTGATGCATTTTACTTTATTCCAGTACAGTTCTGTGCAGAAAAAATACAAGCACTAATGTGAACTATGACATTGACAACCATATAACCTACTTTCTGTGCATTTTGTATGCAGAAAATAAAGCACACTGAAGGGCATGTAGTGTGAACTGGCCCGTACTCTATCCAAAATGAAAAAAAAAGTTTTGCCTGTAGATCTACTGTAATGTCCTATGTTTTTCTTCCACAGCACCTCAAAGGCAAACTAGGATTTTAGGAATAAGACTTGATTTAAAGGACAGTCAATATTTTGCCTGATTAGCAGCGACATGGAATCAGCCTGAAACAAGTGGGATACAAGGGTGCAAAGGGTTAATAAACTGCAAAGTCAGAGTGGAGAGCTCTAAAGAGTTGTGCGTCAAAAATCCTGCTTTCTGTATCTCTGGTGCAAAGTACTGTACATCTTCCAGTAGAGTATTATGCCATAGGCCAGTGGTCTCCAAACTGTGGCCCGGGGGCTGGATGCAGCCCTTTGCTTGCCTTTATCTGGCCCTTGAGGCATTATTCCAGCCACTGACACCAACAATGGGGCACTATTTCTTCTGCTGAGTACCACCAATGATAGGGCACTATTCCTCCCAACGACACCAACGATAAGGCACTATCTCTCCCAATGACACCAACTATGTTCTCCCTGTGCCTGTGTGGGTTTTCTCCGGGTACTCCAGTTTCCTCCCACATTCCAAAAACATGCTGGTAGGTTATTTGGATCCTGTTTAAATTGGCCCTAATATGTGTATGTATGAATGTAAGTTAGGGACCTTAGAATGTACACACCTTGAGGGTTAGAGACTGATGTGAATGTACAATATATGTGTATGTAAAGCGCTGAGTAAATTGATGGCGCTATACAAGTACCTGAAATAAATATATAATAATGTGGTTTGACCATTCCAAATCGCATGACAAGTTGCACCCTATTGCCAGCAATGGAACTGTTCAAACAGATGCGACTCTGACGGAGTTGGACCGATTTTGAAAGTAGCTCCTGCACTATTTTATGGCGATTTCAGGAATGACTTGCATAGACATCTGTGCATGAAGTTACGATTTCAAAGTCACATTCAGTGTGAACCAAGGGTAAAGGGCATGAAAATATCACCGTGCTGCATATAAAAATCTGTACCTGCGTATGTCATAGTGGCCATACATACTTCGATTTAATAATCTGACCGATGCGTGATTCAATCAAAATGATCAAATCAACAACCATTTATTAGGCATAACTTCATTCCAATCGATTAGACTCGATTTAGATTGGATGCAATCAAACTGAGTCAATCAGAAAGGCAGAGAATGATCAAATATTTTGTATTATTTGGCAGCAATGAGTAGCTTTGGTCATAAATCTGATTGTATTTCAGTCAATCAGATTGCGGGATTGTATGGTGAAAACAGAGATGCAATTGATAATGGACGATCAATCCTTGCAA